CGAAGAGGAGGCCGATACAAAAGAAGTTTATATGAACTTATAGTATTCTTTTCACGTGTTTTCTTCATATCCGGGAGATTTCCCACATGTTCCCGGACACCCTGTATAGAGTCCCTTTACAGCGTAGAATTCACTGGTAATGAGAACAAGGAGCCAAGGAGGGTAACTATACGGGTGGCACATGGTATCGGGGACCATGTAACTTCAGCATTCATATACGGATTTTTCTGAAATTTGGTACAGTTATACAGGGTGTATCTGAATAACATCAAAAAAATTCAAGGGGTATTTCCTTGTGACATTCTAGCAAATGAAGTTCATATAAACATGTGTCCTAACTTGCTCCGTTTTTCAGATACAGGATGTTGAAGTTGAAAGTATTAATTGTTTTTATTTGTAACCCACCTGTGTAAACTTTCATGGTTCAAAAATTTAGTATGGATGGTGACTGAGAAAGCCCCAAAATTTCAAAATGATTCTAATTGGATTCGGCTTATTGAGTAATCTCAATGGAAGTCTTGAAAACACCTACCTATATACATTAAAATTTGGAGTCAAATCGAATTTTTATTGTTTCCTCAAAAACTAAGCAAGATACAAAAATCTCACAGAGAATAAAAAAGTTGTTATTTTAATAAACTACTCAACACTAATTTCGTCGCACACCAAAATGTCGCCCCTGTTATAATGTGAATAACTTTTTTCAGTTTAGAACAATTTGAATTTGATTCACACTGTTCGATAGCCTAGTCTTTCAGCTATAATCTCGTACTCCATTGAAACATGAGGGTATTCACATAAAATCTCTACATGGTGTTTTCCGAAACTGTGCAAAATTTCGGAATATTCAAAAGGCTCTCAAATGGTGAAAAAATGTTTTTTCTCAACTTCGACAACAGAGGCATGAGGATGATCTCATTACCTCGAGATGTTTCGCGAATCAACTTCCTATCTCTCTTATTTACAGAGTGATCTCAAAAAATCAACTTTTTGGTTTTGCAGCCATAACTTTTTTCCACGTCAACCGATTTTAGAAATCTTAGGCTCATTTTGAAGATAAAAAACTTCAGATGAAGAGATCTGAATATCAGGATTGACTAAAGATGGCTATCAGAGATCTAGAGTTTTCTTGAAAGTGACCCAAATCTGGAACGCCCTCCGAATCTCGGTTGGGAGAAGAATTGAATGAAAATCAACTTGTTCTCGGAAAAACAATTCATTCAGGATGCGTCCATATTTTCCTCGCTCTCAGTAGTCAAGAATTGTGCGTGAGAAAACACAATTGAAACATGTTCTTGCGAAAACATCAGACCATTTCTCCTCTGTAATGCATGGCCCGTAACCAACGTTACAAGAATCACAATGGACTGACAAACCCGACCAGCTAAGGCTCATCATAAATGATGTACCAACAACCCTATGCGGTCTCGCATTGTCATCAACGAGAACAAAGTTGTCACCCACATTCGCTTTAGATGAGGCATCGAAACTATCGAAATCTGTTTATGATTCGAAAACGACGTCTAACCTGACTTGTCAGTCACTTACTGTGATTCTTGTAACGTTGGTTACGGGCCATGCATTACAGAGGAGAAATGATCTGATGTGTCTGATGCAAGAACATGTTTCAATTGTGTTTTCTCACGCACTTTCTTGACTACTGAGAGCAAGGAAAATATGGACGCATCCAGAATGAATTGTTTTTTCGAGAACAAGTTGATTTTCATTCAATTCTCTTCCCAATCGAGATTCGGAGGGCGTTCCAGATTTGGGTCACTTTCAAGGAAACTCAAGATCTCTGATAGCCATCTTGAGTCAATTCTGATATTCAGATCTCTTCATCTGGAGTTTCATCTTCGAAATGAGCCTAAGATTTCTGAAATCGGTTGACGTGGAAAAAAGTTATGGCTGCAAAACCAAAAAGTTGATTTTTTGAGATCACTCTGTAAATAAGAGAGATAGGAAGTTGATTCGAGAAACATCTCGAGGTGATGAGATCATCTTCATGCCTCTGTTGTCGAAGTTGAG